CACGTTTAAACGTGAGCAACGAACCCTAGTGGAAGAAGCCATGCCTCACTACCCCCAAAACCTAACAAAAGGTGGTTCTGTTGTATTTGTCGTCCGCGTATCATTTGGAATACAATTTGTCGAGGTCGGCGGCGCGGTTCCCTTGAAAACCAAAAGGAAGAAATCCCCAGATACAGGACAGAAACCGCATCAAGATCGACACAGCCAAATCACCAGAGAACAACGCGCCAGACAAAGCAAAATTGTGGCCTAGTCCTCCTCTTCCAATCCATGGTCAGAGATAAACGGTTTTACTGACAGCGACGCGGTTAATTAGTTTTCATCCTCCCATGATATCACATGCATGCTCTGTGCAAGAAGAACAAGTCCATTTTACCTGGTGTGTGATGACACAGATGCTGTAGTTTACCTGGTGTAATTAAGAACTAGTCTATTTTATCTGCTGTGATGACAAAGAAGTTGCAGTTTACCAGGTGTAGTCAAGCACTACTAGTAAACAGAGTGAGATCATATGTGCAGCAAGTGAAGCATGCAGCTTGCTTCCTGGCTCTGGACTACCCAACAACTCCCCCAGAAAAGTATTAACAAAAGAAAAAATTATAGAGGCTTCCACACAGGTGATAACACACGCTGAGACGGTTGCAATCAGAGGCAGCAGGAAGGAGCTCATGTAAGTTGTAACCCACAAGGATTGCATGGATGCATGGCATGGCTCAACCGCAAAGAGGGGTGGCGGTTTCTTGCAATGGCATGAAAGCACCCGATTGCGTCCATGTTACCCCCATGTTCCTCCATCTTTATCATATCCCTCCCCAACCACCCCGTTTGTGTTTCCCTCCTTGGGTGCTTGCTTCTCCTGCAAGCTCTTCCATTGATATGCAGAGCAACCAATTTTGCGACAAGCATCAGGGTGGCGTTGCAGTCACTGGGATACGCCGGGGATATGGAGAGATGATTACATTACAAGGTCTCCAAAAGACCTCAGGAGCAATGCGCCTGCTTGATTATTTCCTGGGACGCAAAAACATGGGAGTGTGGGTGCAGATGTTCATCTTTTGGGCGCGGGATGATTGATCGGCGCATTAGGGCTCAGGAATGATGAGCTCCGGGCCTGCTTGCTTAGCATGCATGGGGCTTGGAATCAGGGCTCGCACCTGGTGAACCCTAGGCTGGGGTTATTTTAGCTCTAGGGTATCTGAGCTGTTGGCTGTGATCTTGGACTGTGCAGAATTAACAAGTTGGTTAGGGTTTAATTACTTAGACCAAGACTCATTGTGTAGTGTACTGTAGTAGAAGAACCAGCATTTTCGGATGCGAGCCATTTATATTTCAGAAGTTTTTCTTGACCGATTTAACCATGTATAACCCCATTTTGCGACAAAAAGATTTCACAATTTGCCTGATTAAATGTTTTAGTTTGTAGAAACTGGTGCAACGACAAACAATAATAAACGGTGCAGTGTGATAAAATGCTTTAAATCTGTTTAATTTTGTCAATCTAGCAAAACATGGTTAGCTCCATGTATCCGTGGAATATACTCCACAAATATGACTCCAAACGAAATACATCAAAGAGAGCAAGTATAAGCATGCGTGTGATTAGCACTTTGATGTCTTTATTCCTCAGCTGAATTGTCCCCATTAGCTGCCCCTTTTTCCCCTAGTGGACCTCCAGAAAGGGTAGACAAAATGGGGAAGCAATTTGCTTAGGCAGATAGTGGGGTGGTGAAAGCAATGTCATTATCTATCCCTCCTAATTATTCCCCCACTGATTTTTTTTTAAAAGGAAGGGGATGGTCCTGTTTGCTTGGCTCATCTGGGATTTGGTGAGGGTGAAGGTCACAGTGCCCCATGCCATGGCCACAATGCACTACATACATGTACTACCACTACTAGGCAACACCCACAAACTTTTCACCATTCCAGGTACCCATGAAAGCCTCCTTGATTCCTTGTGCTTGTTGATCAGAGTGCAGCAGCAGCAGTACTACCATGTACTGCAAATCATAAGCAGTACACTGCTCCTGCCTGTTAAGCAGCAGAGGAAGAAACTTCAGGAGAATGCCATGCATCTAGCATGAGTGTTCCAATAATTAATCAGGATCAGGACTAATGATGCTGGACGGTGGGCCAACCCTGAAAATTAGGCAGGTGACAGCCCTAGTCCCAACATGCTTAGAATACTGGTTCCAACCTCTTTCTTTTATGTGAGGGGTGCAGGGGAGAGGACAACAGAATTAGACAGTTTCATTGAAGCTGCCTGTTCCTTCTTTTTGTTTGGAGGTGAGGCGAGGCAGCATCAATCATCCCAATGTGGAGGCACTGCTCCAATCAAGAATGCAGAGCAGGGCTTGTATCCGCAAATAATATGTGGTCTGTGCAAACAAGGAATTATTCCATGGAATCCACCAGAAAGGTTCAGGAATTTCCAAGGAAAGTAGTTAATGCTACTAGTATTAGGTGAGGGCAGTCTTTACCAACATAATGATAAATTCAACTAGAGATGAGAGTACATACACAGATGTGTGAAAATCAGTTTTAGTGCACAGTAGTATTTTTCAGGTTTGATACAGACTATGTAGTATCACATAGTATAGACTTCTTTGCTTTGTTCTAGATCAAAATATTCAGATTTTTTTTCAAAACAGTGTACGTCGCTTTAGGGTTGTAAACTTTTCCTCACAAAGGAAAAAAGACCATGTAATCTTTTCTAGAAAGAATCTACCAAAGCCCAGGACTTATTTTAATCTAGATCACGTGGGGCAAGAATTCTGCTCACTGCATTTTTCAGGTCCCTAATGGACGCTTGTCTGCCTTTTCCAATTAGGAGAAAATGATTGATTAAAGACATCTGTCCACTGGATCTTACCCCCTTTACACAAAACCAACTGCATGGGCAATGGGTTGCTTCCCGTGGAGTGTCTCATCAGATGCTCACACATTTCTTACCCATCGTAATCTCTCAAAATTTCTAATCAGAAAGTTCCTCTAATCCATGGAAATCAACATTTCTAGACTCCACCACCGCTGGGAGTCCAAAACCCTGACCAACTGGTCACACACAAAACGTTGCATTCGAAGCCGACACACTTTAATTTTCCCGCACACAATCTCTAAGGTCCTGTTCGGAACGCGTTAATAATCTGGTTTCGCGAGAATTTTCGAAGAGCCGGCTCATTTTTTTTTCCGTTGGCACTGAAATAGTTTCTGCGTTTCAAACGGGACCTGGACGTTGAAGGAGGAGGGTTCACAAGTTTGACACACACATAGGGTAGGGTATGGGGACCGAAAGGTGCATGAGTGAAAGTGACCTTACATGTAAACTAATGGGAGCTGAACCACTGAGGGTTTTCTTCTGATTAACTGGTGTCATTTATGCAAATTATTTAATGTCCTGAAAAGCATGTGAGGTCGACATAAATTTACACTATAAACTCCTGGTAAAAAACCATGAAAAAAGAAGTGATGCAAGATTACAGTGAGACAGTGACAGGAAGCCTTGTTGAGATCTGAATAGCAAATGAAGTAAGTAGATAATCCAGAGGCAGCCTGCTCAAGTCAACATTGCTTAGGTAATGGGATATGAATGAGAGGAGAGGAGAGGAGGAAAAAGGAGAGGGAGTAGTAGCAAGCAAGCAGCATTGATGCCTCCATTACTCCCCAGTTTAATACCTTGGGAGGTTGAGGTTGGATTGGAGGAGCTCAGCTCGGCTCTCGCAAGGACAGCCTGTGCGTGTGCGGTGTGGCCTTTTTTGGATTGGAGAGAAGGGTGGCTTGAGAAATTCAGATTCAGAGTGAGACAGGCATGAGGCTTCTTTTCAGTAAATTTTTGGAAACTAATAAAAAGTAGTGGATCAGCAACGATGAACAGTCCATTTGTTCACAATGGAATAGAAAAAAGTTGTGTTTTGCTTAACTAATGAACTAAAAACGTTAGAACAAGGGAGTAGTACTGCAATATCATTGGCCGTATCGAACCGCCGAGTTTGCGCGTTTGAAGTTTGAATGTTGAAGTTATTTCTATTTGAGAGCAGGATCATTCTGGGATGGATAGATCCCCTGAGGCTCCAAGTAGATGATGCTGCTGAATAAGTTGCATGTATCCCGTGGAAGTTTTGTCAGTACAGTTGTTCCCTTGCCCTGGTAGTGGTGACCAGCAAACAAGGAGTAGATGGCAACAGAAACAGGGGAGAAAGAAAAAGAAAGAAAGAAATAGTTGGCCTGGCCAGCCACCCATGTTGTCTTGCGCCACCCCCACCCCCAGGTCCCCATTGCCCTCCCCTCCTCCTCCCTCACCAAAGCACAGCACATACATGGCGATGGTGTGTGTGGAGGCGTTGGAGGGGGGCTACAGCTACAGCCACAGCTACAAAAGAAAAGGGGGGAAAAGAAGGAGCTGAAAAGGAAAAGGCAGAGCTCCTCTCCTCCTCCCCTCCCCCCTTTTCTCCCCTCCCAATTCATCACAGGATTCACTCACCAGCTGGGTGTTTCTTTTCTTTCTCCCCTTCCTTCCTAGCAGAGCCAGAGGCAGCCAGTGGTGGTGCCCATTTCCTCGCTCTGATCCAAGCCTTTCGCTCAAAGCCCCCGGCTTTTGCCGATTGTTTGGTCACTTCAAGAATCTCGGAATATGTTCTTGCTCCTGCCGCCGCCCCTGCTCTGATCCGCCCACCCATCCCTGCTCTGGACCCTGTCGCGCTCTCTCTCTTTCCTCCTGCGGCGGCATTTCGCGGCGGCTGGGTTCTCTGCGAGGAGAGGATTCTGGCGGCCTGGTTTCTGCCGTGATTGGGATCCAATTTTGGGGGCGGGTTCGCCGTGGTGTGGAGCAGGGTTCCTTTCTTGGCGGGGCAGGAATTTGGGATGATTTCTCGGGTTCTTGAAGGCGGGGAGACTCTCTGACGACCCGCCCCTGCGCCGTTTCTGGGGGGCAATTTTCTGGGCGATTTCTGCGGAATTTGCGTCGATTCGGGGCCGTTGAGCCCGGTTCTTGATCCGCGGGCTCCATGGGTCTCTGTCACGGAAAGCCCTCGCGAATCCCGGAGCCCAAGGCGGAGGAGGAGCCGCGTGTGGCCTCCGGGACCGGCGATGCCGCCGGTGCCGCCTCGCCGGCGCAGGCGGCCGCCGCGGCGAAGCCGGGCACGCCGAAGCAGCCCAAGTTCCCCTTCTACCTGCCGAGCCCGCTCCCGGCGTCCAGCTACAAGGGCTCGCCGGCCAACTCGAGCGTGGCGTCCACGCCGGCCCGCGGCGGGTTCAAGCGGCCCTTCCCGCCGCCGTCGCCGGCCAAGCACATCCGCGCGCTCCTGGCGCGGCGGCACGGCTCCGTCAAGCCCAACGAGGCGTCCATCCCCGAGGGCGGCGAGCCGGAGCTGGGCCTCGACAAGAGCTTCGGCTTCTCCAAGCACTTCTTCGCCAAGTACGAGCTCGGCGAGGAGGTCGGCCGCGGCCACTTCGGCTACACCTGCGCTGCCAAGGCCAAGAAGGGCGAGCACAAGGGCCAGGACGTCGCCGTCAAGGTCATCCCCAAGGCCAAGGTCCGATACTCACTCTATCACGCCGTCCCTCCTCCCCTCCCCTCGCCATTGCCATGCCCTCGTTCTCGAGCTGCTTGCAGAAATGCCTCTGCCATTCAGTCTCTCGCCGTCTATGTTCAGCTGCATAATCTGCATTTTACCACTTCTTTTTCTACGCGTGATTGGGCATCAGCATGTCCGTCTGAATGATGCTGTCTCTGCTCATTTTGTCGTCAAGATCCGTCTTTTGCCACCACGTTAGATTCAATCTCGACTTCTCCAGGTGTTGACCAAGACTTGCATTTCGTCGATTAAGCATTTTTTTTGCCTGCTTGAGATTTTGGGAAATCGGATCCGTTGAGCTCGTGTTGCATATGTTCTAATCCTATCAGCTACGTATTCGTTAGAACGTCGCTTGGTTCAACCATGGCTTGGCGAAAAGCAACCCGGGGCGCTCGTGACTGTTGGTGGGAGGGAGGGAGAACGACCTCGCCCTTGCCAGTAGGGCAAAGCTCGCTGCCACCCCGCGGCAGGCATTCATGGCGATGGAGCCTGGTGAAGCTCATCTATCCGGATGTGGACAAGCCCCTGTGCATTCATTGACTTAACATCATGGCCATGGTGGATTGGTGGTGGCGAGTGGAGATGGTCACCGAGCTCCCCATGTCAATGTCCTCTCTACTCTTCTTAGCTTCTTTCCTCACCTTGCCTGGCATGCTCATGGCAGCCTCTCGGCTAGATCTGCAGGCCAAAAGTGATACTTCAATTCTGTTTAAAGAGCTTTGCTCATTATGCGCCTCCCTGCAATTGTATGAGGTGCCATTTAATTTGGCCCCTGTAGAGCCTCAGCCTGCCCAGTGCTTTTATGAGCAGAGCTGGCAACCTCCCTGTTGTACATGCATGGCCGGCCACAGCTACTCACATTCCATGTGCATGTGCTTGTGCTCTGCCAATCGTAGCAATGCTGTTTTTTCTTTTTCTTTTCTTGATCGGTTCTTTCTAGAGAAGATGAGCTCACTGGCATTGTTAGGAAACAAGCCAAGTCGTTTGATTACTGTTTTTTTAACTTTAGGGTTTCAACTGCCGTTTGGGCATGGTTTGTTTCATTGTAAATGGGTTGCAGTTGCGCTGATGCCAGCAAGAGGCATTTTATTCCTTGGTGCCTATAATTGATCACTTATTGCTTGTCTAGTGCACTGCTGGACAACGTTGGGCTAAACAGTAGCTGGTTGTTGGATAGGCCACAAAGATAAAGGTGTCATAATTTGTGTTTCGAGATCTACGTACGTTGCCCGTCTAAGTGTAAGTAGGACGAAGGAGCTATTTTTGGTTGACTTTGTGCTTGTCACTGTTTTAGTTGCACGATCTTACCTGTAATGTGCTATGTTCATCGCATCGACTTTGTTATGACCCTGTTTGCTTGTTTCAGTCATTTATTTGTTAGTGGTTTATTCCAAAACCATACAAATTGATATTGAAATTCAAGCTGTTTTCTAGTCTCACCAAGTGACGCGTGCTAGCTGTTTAGAGTTCACATTATATTTAAGTTAAAGCTGTTTCCTAGTCTCACCAAATGACGTGTGTGGGCAGATGACAACAGCCATAGCAATTGAAGATGTCAGAAGAGAAGTGAGGATATTGAGCTCTCTGACAGGCCACAGCAACCTAGTGCAGTTCTATGATGCTTTTGAAGATGAAGACAACGTGTATATAGTTATGGAGTAAGTGTGCATTTCTTTCATAGAGTAGGTCCTTTTCAGTTCTGTCTTCATATGTTGTTGCAATGCATGAGATTCTTGTTCTTCTTTATATTAGAAGGTTTAAATTATAATTAGTCAAATTATGATCAATTCCTATCAAAATTGACCATGCGTATCAAATGGCGCTTACTGTAACTTCTATCACTTATCATGTTTGTTTCTTTTCAGATTGTGTAAAGGAGGCGAACTACTTGATAAGATATTGGCGAGGTATAATCCTACCAGTGTTCGCAAATTGGAACAATTCTTATGATTATATCTGCTGGGGTTCTAACGATATCTCATCTCTTGTTTTGCAGAGGTGGAAAGTATTCTGAAGAGGATGCAAAGGTTGTTATGCTGCAAATTTTGAGTGTAGTATCATTTTGCCATCTTCAAGGTGTTGTTCATCGGGATCTGAAACCAGAGGTTGGTTTGTTTTCACACAGTTAGCAGCTAATATTAATTCTTCGTACTGTCTTTTAGTTACTATTATCAACCTGGGAGTTTCTTAATGCGATACCATATTTTCTTCGATTGTTGGTTCTTTATATTGTATTATCCAAAGCACTTCTGTTCAGTCAGCAGATGCAGTACAAAGATTTTGCAATAACTAAATACATCTGTGTTTCCTTTTCCCAGAATTTTCTATTCTCATCGAAGGAGGAAAACTCACCCTTGAAGGTCATAGACTTTGGCTTGTCTGACTTTGTAAAGCCAGGTTAGTCTAACATGGTCCATTCAGATTATTGTATAACATTTTGTTTTACTACATTTAAATGTGACTGTATTGTGACACCACACAATTTTTACATCTTCAGATGAAAGGCTCAACGACATTGTTGGAAGTGCGTATTATGTTGCTCCCGAGGTGCTTCATCGATCTTATGGCACGGAGGGAGATATGTGGAGCATTGGAGTAATTGCCTACATTTTGCTTTGTGGGAGCCGACCTTTCTGGGCACGCACAGAATCAGGAATATTCCGAGCTGTCCTTAAGGCAGAACCAAGTTTTGATGAGGCCCCATGGCCTACTCTCTCTGCGGAAGCCAAAGACTTTGTAAAAAGGTTGCTTAATAAGGATTACCGCAAGAGGATGACTGCCTCACAAGCTCTGAGTAAGAACTATATTTGTTTGGCAGTGCCGTACAGTAATATCCTCCTTTGGAAGACTATTCTTCTGCAGAATGATGCTTAACTGTTTACTTGTGCACTGGTACCTGCAGGTCACCCATGGATCCGTGATGCACAACAAGTCAAAATTCCTTTAGATATGATAATCTACAAGCTTATCCGAGCTTATATCAGTTCATCTTCACTGCGGAAGTCTGCTTTGAGGGTATACACTATGCACTTAAAACAATCTTAACAAAAAAAACCTATTGCAATTTGGTCTTCATTATGTAATCCACAGTTTATTTTCTTACCAGCAAGTGTTAATTTGTTTTTGATTTTTTATTGCATTGGGTACTTGAGATATCCATATTCTTTTTGAAATTGCTACATGTTGAATGTTCCTTTCGCTATTATATAGGACAAATTTGCACAGTTAAGTAGGTTCATAGCATTATGTCCTGAATTTAATTGCATTACCAATGAGCCATTTCTTATGGATGTTCATACATTTTGCAGGCCCTAGCTAAGACATTGACAGAAAATCAACTCTTTTATCTAAAAGAGCAGTTTGAATTGTTGGGTCCAAACAAGAGTGGTTTAATCTCCTTGCAAAATTTGAAATCGGTTAGTAATCCTATATTCGTCATTTAGTCTAGTTTACAGCATGCAGTTGCTGAAAAGGGCAAATGAAACTTGCAGGCTCTGGTGAAGAATTCTACGGATGCAATGAAGGATTCCAGGGTTATTGACTTTGTTAACACGGTAAGCCTTCCTCATAGTATCTTCAGTTGTATGATGTATTGGACTGAGACGCCGACTTACCTGCCAAGATTATGGTGTATACAAGGTATGCACCCTTCAGTACAGAAAATTGGATTTTGAAGAGTTCGCCGCTTCCGCCATCAGTGTATACCAGATGGAAGCTCTGGAGACCTGGGAACAGCATGCTCGGCGCGCGTACGAGCTGTTCGACAAGGAGGGCAACCGGCCTATCGTGATCGAAGAACTTGCGTCGGTACGAGTCTGAACTGTAGTCTGAACAGTTAATTTATGCGTGATCACTTGACATTTCACTGATCACTGTCACGTCTTTGGTCCATCAGGAACTCGGCCTCGGCCCGTCGGTGCCCCTCCACGTCGTCCTCCAGGACTGGATCAGGCACGCCGACGGGAAGCTCAGCTTCCTCGGGTTCATAAAGCTCTTGCACGGTGTTTCTTCCCGGTCGATCCCGAAAGCCTGAGACGGAAACAAGCATTATTATTCTTGCATCAAACCTAGGAGATGACTGATGGCTAAGCCACCGCCAATCTCTCGCTGGTGTCTGTGTGCGTGGACGACAACTGTTTGAGGTGGCTGGAGGAGGACGATGGCTTGCGACCGCGACCGTAACGGAAGAGAAGCCGGCAGTCTTTGTGTAAGAGG